GGGGGGGGCCAGTGCTGCCGGGGTGCCCCCATGCCCCGTGTCCCCCCCCAGGAACGTCCCCCGAGCAGGTCTCAGCCTAGCAGGAGGGTGGCCTGGTGCCCGGGGGTCGTGGCACGTCCCCAGGGCCGGGGGTGACACCACAGGGCCCTGCAGCCTCCTGCGCACACCGGGCCCAGTGCCAGCCTGTACTGGTGCCCAGTGCCAGCCCATACTGGTGTCTGTTGCCAGTCCTGCACCGGAGCCAAATACAAGTCCATACTGGTGCCCGATGCTCTCCAGTTCTGGTGCCCAGTGCCAGCCTGTGCTGCTGCTGAATGCCACAGCCCCAAGTGATGCCCAGTTCTCGCCTGAACTGGTGCCCAGCGTCAGCCAGTACTGGTGTCCATACTGGCACCCAGTGCCACCCCATACTGCTGCCGAGTGCCAGCCTTAAACTGATGCCCAGTGGCAGCCTTAAACTGGTGCCCAGTGCCAGCCCCAGTTGATGCCCAGTTCTTGCCCATACTGGTGCCCAGTGCCAGCCCAAACTGGTGCCTGATGCCAGCCAGTTCTGGTGCCCAGTATGAGACCGTACTGGTATCCAATGCCAGCCTGTACTCCTGCCCAGTGCCAGCCCTGTACCGCTGCCTGCTGCCAGCCTGTTCTGGTGCCTGCTCAAGGTCCGCACTACTGCTGGTTCCTCCCGCCCCGCACCCCCCCCTGCCCGCACCCACAGCCTGTCCCAGAGCCCACAGCCCAGCCTGGAGCCCGCACCCTGTCCCACACCTCCCACCCGGGCACTGCTTGGCTCAGGGGGCACAACTCACCCTTGAGGGTGGGGATCAACCCAGGACAGGCCCCGTGAGCCCCCAGATCCCACAAAACCCCAAACCCCTTCTCCCCATCTCTGGCCCTCTTCCTGCTGCTGAGCCCTCGCCTGCCTTTTCGCCTGGCTCGGGCTGGCCTCAGCTGGGTGAGGGTGAACATGTTGGCCAGCACCTGCCCCGCTTATATTTTCTTCATATATATATTTTAGCTTTATAATATACACTTTATTTATGTGTATACACATCATACACACACCATATAGGAAGTCTCCTGGTCCTACAGCCCAGCAGTACGGCAGCGTGTTGGCAGCCCCCTCTTGCTTACACTAAAAAAAAAAAAAAGGAAAATCCACAGGTTGGTTGTTGCTGACCGACGAGGTTCAGCTGCCGGGGTGTCGTGCCACCGGTGAAAGCCGGCATGCCAGCTCCTGGCTGTGCCCACTGAGAGCCCGGTGCCACAAAGCCGTGATAGAAGCCAAGAATGAAAACAAGCCCAGGGAGCCAGGGACCTTGTCTCTGCCCAGCCCAGGGACTTATCTACACCCCCTCTGCTTTCCCTGCTTGGGGAATTTGGTTTTTTTTCCCTCTCCAATCATAAAAGTGGAATTTGCCGTCAGGTGCCGCTCTCCAGCAGCTCCCAGCACCAGCACAGCTGCACGCCAGCCCCATTTACCCCAGCGCTCGGCAGCCAGAGGCTTCATCTCCGCGCGGTGCCGGGCTGGAAATGTCAGCCGGATCCTCAAGCACCTCTTAACCTTCACGTCTTCGCATCGAGTGTGGAGGGGGCAAATCCCCTGCAAGACCTGGGCTGTGAAGATGCTCTTCATATTCATGGGCGAGAGGAAGAAAAATAAAACAATTTGCTACTAAATTTAGCCTCAAATATCAAGTTTAAAAAATAAACTTCCTGGAAAGTTGTTGAAGGTCTATTCTGAAGGCCCGGAACCTGCCAGCTTGCTGCCTGCTCCACCGGTGCAGCCGGGCGTCTCGCAGGATGCTCACGCCAGAGAGGAAAGTGTCCTTAAACACCCCATAAACCGAGGGACAACCCCCCCAGCCCCTCGGCAGGCGCTGAACCTTCGCTTGTTGCAGACCCCGACCACACTGGAGACGCCCGTCTCTCCCCGAACCCCAAAGCCTTCTCACACCCACAAAACCTTCGGGATGCAGACAAGGGAGCGTTCGGGGCAGAACCGTGTCATTTACTGCTCATGCCTGATCTGCGCCGATTATTGACGCTTCTTAGCCAGAACGGCTAAACCAGATATTAATATTTCATCAGGAGCAAAATGCAAGATGAGTTTGCTTTGCACACCCTTGCTCAGAAACCTGGCCGGGGCCCCCCAGCCGTCTGCCTGCCCCGGGCCGAGGGGCTTCAGGGGGCGAAGGAGAGCGTTTTACAGGGGAGCAACTCACACCTCGGTGCGATCTCAGCCTTCCCTTCTCGTGCGTCTCTGGGGCTAACAGCCACCCCAGCTGAAACCACGCCTTGTACCCAATTGCCTTGAAATTACCTTAAACTAATTAGATAAAGCACTCCAGTAATTTTATTGCAGTTTGGCCCTGCTGCGCATCGGAAGCGCATCCAGAAGGCGGCTGTCGCTAGCAGACGTCCGACGCAGCTCCCCCGGCCAAGACCCAGGGCGCTGACTTCACCGTGCCCCTTCCCTGCGGCTCCCCCATCCTCGCGGACCCTCCAGGACCCCCGCATCGGGCAGGATTTTTTTTTTCCTCCCGCTCAGATTTTTTTGCAGCATCTGCAGCAGTTGCTCCTCTCCGAATGGCCTCCGTCACGAGATGATGTGGAGAGAGTGGCTCGAGAGCAGCCCTGAGGAGAAGGACTTGGGGGTACTGGTGGATGAGAAGCTCAACATGAGCCGGCAATGTGCGCTGGCAGCCCAGAAAGCCACCCGTATCCTGGGCTGCATCCAGAGCAGCGTGGACACAGGGCGAGGGAGGGGATTCTGCCCCTTTACTCCGCTCTCCTGAGACCCCACCTGGAGTACTGTGTCCAGCTCTGGAGCCCCCAACATAAGAAGGACATGGATGTGTTGGAGCAGGTCCAGAGGAGGGACACGAAGATGATCAGAGGGCTGGAGCACCTCTCCTACAAGGACAGGCTGAGGGAGCTGGGGCTGTTCAGCCTGGAGAAGAGAAGGCTGCGGGGTGACCTTAGAGCAGCTGAGGGTGGTGAGGCCCTGGCCCACGCTGCCCAGAGAAGCTGTGGCTGCCCCCTCCCTGGCAGTGGCCAAGGCCAGGTTGGATGGAGCTCTGAGCACCCTGGGCTGGTGGGAGACGTCCCTGGTCATGGCAGGGGGGGTTGGAATCAGACGATCTTTAAGGTCCCTTCCAGCCCAAACCATTCTGTGATTCTATGGCACTCTCTCGGCAGAGACCATCCCAGCGCGTTGCCCGCCTTGGGTCAAACGCAACGTTCGCATCCTCCCACCATCTACCAGGGCACGCCGAGTTCAGCGCAGGGGGAAAAGACCAAACACAGCAATTAAATCTTTGGAAGAAAACCTTATTTGGCCCTAAAGGAGAAGTTTTCAAAGGCTGGATCTTACTCTGCCATCTGCCAGAAGCCTTCGGCTTAGCCGGGGCTGCAGGTAGCTCCTCGGCGGTGGCAGCAGCTGCTCCCGAAGTCCCCGCTGGCTCATTATCACGCCAGAGCTTCGCCCCAGTAAACAGGTCTAAGTAGCTGCAGAGGCGATGCAGAAGTGTCCTGAAGATGCCTTGCAGAAGGGATTCCTCCTGTCGGGGGGACAGATGGAGAAATCAGATACCGCAGGAGCTTCAGTGACGCCGTGTTCCAGGTCAGGCGGACAGAGACGGCGTTTCCGGATGCTGGAGCCGGGACACGGCAGCACCTGTGAGCAGAGCCCTTCCCGGCTCAGCTGCCTGGTTCAACCCAAATTCCTGGAAGAGCATGTGGGAACCAGGGGTATCTGGGAACACTGGAAGCAGTGCAAGAGGCATTGGCTTGCCCTCAGCGGGGCGATGACAATCGGGTGTTCGCAGCAAGCGCAGGAGATGGATTCTGAGCGGTTGTGGTGCTCTTGGAGGTGACAGCACACACACTAAATTAGATGTGCGACCACTGGAACAGAGAGAAAACCCTCCCAGCTCCCATCTTCCAGGTCTAGCAATGTTATGAATCCCTTTTCAAATTCTGTGTTTAGTGTTATGCTAAACAAGCAGGACTCTGAGTTTACCACACGCGCTACCAGGTCAGGCTTTGAAGGGCAGTAGCTTCCAGGTCCAGCTCTTGGAGCAGCCGGACGTCTCCCCACGACGCTTCCTGCCCGGCCGGGGGAAACCGAGCTTTCGGGCGCGGCACAGCCCTAACCCTCACAGGCATTGCCAAAACTCTCCCCGAGTTCACCTCGACAGGACTTCAACCACCTCCTCAGCGACTCCTCTTTTTAAGAATTATTTTTGCACCTTTCTGGCTCTGAGATTTTGTCTCTCCCCTGTTGTTTTCCTGACCTTCTAAGCGTTTGTATCGGAGGAGGGAAGCCAGGCTGT